TGGCGCGGTGCGCGGTGGCTTTGCTCTGGCGCAGTGAGAGAGAGGCAAAGTGAGGCAGAGGAGCATGAATGCGGGCGAGCGAAGAAGGGCACGACGCGCGTGCGGTGCCGATTCAGACACCGTTGAACCCGACTGACAGCGTGACTTCGTGACTCTATAACTCCTAATCCGTGGCGAATTTTTGAAAACTTCGTTAATCAAATTTGTAGAGGTAAATGAGTACTACAAAAATGCTTAAAGGAGTTTAGCCTAATTTCCAATGGTTTTTAAACTACAAAGCTCCAAAGTAGAGTACTTTAAAACTGTAGTCAGCACATGACTAAGCAAAATTTTCTAAGTTTCAAAACAACATTTTATTGATTTTGTGGGCCCTATTTGACTAAGTTAGACACTGATTCAGCTCATGACCCTTAAATAAAGTTTGTTACCCTTGATGTGAACTACAACTTTTATTTAGGTCACATAGCCATGCAAACAATCTAAGATACTGTTCAACTTTAGTCAAACTAGCATCATGAAAATGACATTTCAAAGTACACCAACACTTAGAAGCAAAATTGGTCCATGTCATGAATACAAAAGTTGTTTCATTCATCATTCTAGATGTGTCTAAGGTATATTGGTGCCCTTACAACCATTTCATACATTGGTCATACATGATTGCAAGCATAAGCATATATATAAAATAAATATTTCATGTGATAAGGTATAAGAATTGGATGAAATTGCATATGCTCATGTTCATGAATGCTTGGATGATGCTTGTGCTCATGAAATGTAGGTGCCAAATGCAAAACTTAACACTAGGGTGTTACACAAAGCACCCTAGGGTCAACGGGCTGGGCCAGCCCAAGGCCCGCTGATGTAGCGCGCACACAGAGAGGCGGGGGAGGGGGAGGGAGGGGATGGGAGGTGGGGGATGTCACGGATGGCAGCTATGACAGCCAGCGTGCTTGTCCCGTGGAGGCCAAGCAGCTGTGCGAGCCGGATCCCATGGCTTGATGTCGGATCTGGTGATCCCACAGGCCGCGTGGAGGAGAGCAGAGTTGCCAAGTAGGCAACACGACGGACCTCTGGGCCGGCGCGCTCGCTCCCGAGCTGCGACCACGCGGAGGAGAGGAGCTCGCCAGCAAGCGGAGAAGACTCACAAGAGGAGCTTCGACTGCTAGAGAAGGGAAGGAGGCGAGTGCGGCGTGGGGAGTGAAAACATCTAGGCCCCTAGTTGGGTTTCGGTGATTAATGACAATACAAGATTACTATGACTAACGTGTGTTTTGCAGAGGCAATTAAGTTAGGTTATGGTAATGGAGATCGATTGGGCAATCATGGTGGTCATGCCCTTACGATGGAAATCATTTCGGTTTTCAAAGGATGGACGACAAGGTTAAGGATGTACTAGTTTTAAGTGTCGATTGGAGTTAGAGAGACACTTAGAGTAGTTTAGGACTTTGTTTTTCCTTTGGTCGTACTATTAAGGGGGGTATGGACAGGTAGCTTGACCTAGGTGAGTCTAGTGAGTTAGGTGTGGTGTACACTTGTTAAAACTAGCACTAGGTAGCTCCAATGGAGCAAACTTCATTCACATATGATCGAGAGTTGGAAGTGAATGAAGGGTCAAATACTGACCGAACGCTAGTTCCGGGTTGACCGGACGCTGGAGCAGAGTCCGGTCAGTTCATTTGACCAAGGTGATTGCATCTGGTTTGACCGGACACTGAGAGGTCGAGTGACCGGACGTTGAGAGCTCAGCGTCTGGTCGACTCCAATAAGGATGCAGAGAGAGGAAAATCACGATCGGACGCGTCCGGTCAGTGCTGATCGGACGCTGCCCAGTGTCCGGTCACACTATAAACACTAGAGTTCGGGGTGTACTGACCGGAGCGTCTGGTCAACATGACCAGAGCATCCGGTCACCCCGCAGAGGCACATAACGGTTCGTTTTTAGCCGGTGTTATAAATACAACCTCCACCCGTGTGTGGGGGTACTTTTGCTCATTCCAACAGCTGAGAAACATATTTGAGAGTGCCAAGAAGAGCAAGGTGCTAGTGAGGTGATTGAGATTTGAGAATCCCAAAGAGAGCCCTCATTAGTGAGATCAAGAGTAGCAAAGTGTGCATCCACCCATCTCATTAGGCTTGTCGTGGTCAAGTGAGAGTTCATGCTTGTTACTCTTGGTGGTCGCCATCACCTAGATGGCTTGGTGGTGATTGGGAGCTTGGTGATGATCCGAAGAGCTTGTGGATGACCCAACTCAAGTTGTGAGCGGTTGTGGGTGATTCACCGCAACGGAGTGTCAAAGAATCAACCCGTAGAGAGCACTTGATCCTTGCGCGGATCAAGGGGGAGCTACACCCTTGCGCGGGTGCTCCAACGAGGACTAGTGGGGAGTGGCGACTCTCCGATACCTCGTCAAAACATCGCCGTGTTTCCTCTCCTCTCTTTACTTTGAGCATTTTGAGCAATTAAATTCTTGTCATTTACATTTATATAATTGCCATGCTAGAGTAGGATTAGAACTTAGGTTGCAAGTCTTTTGTGCGGTAAAACAATTAGAAACACTTTCTAGGCACAAGGGGTTAATTGGGCTAACCATAGGATTTAATTATTAGAAAGATATTTAAAATTAGCCCAATTCACCCCCTATCTTGGGCATCTTGATCCTTTCAGGGAGGACCACGACTCGCAAGTCGTGAGTGCGGGTGTGGCTCGGGGAGGGGACCGGGAGAATGCAGCGTGGGGAAGGGGAGTTAGGGTTATGAAGTTGGACTCTTAGCAGGCCGCCAGGCCGCTGTAGTCACCGGGTCGACGTCGTGCCTAACTATAAATGTTGGGCCGTGCTGTGCTAGCCCACGTGCCTGAGTAGCGGTCCAGGCACGGCCTGCTCCACCGGACCGGGCCAACCCGGGCCCAGTAACCATCTTGTCGGGCCATGCTTGGGCTGGTCCAAAATAGCGTGCTTCGTGCTGGGCTGTTGTGCCTTGGGCTACACGGACATTTATAGCCACCACAAATCTTTGGTGGTCACGGGTTGGAATGCACCAGAGAATACGATGCAGCCTAGAAAGTTTTGTAGAAGCAAATAGAGAGGTCAAAGGGGCACTAGAATAGTCCGGTTGGTGGGCACCGGAGAAATGACATTTTCCGATGATGTCCGAAGAAGAACTCAAGAGCAATAGGCAAGTCGCTGGAATAGTCTAGTGCAGGAGCATCGGAGAAAACGCTTCTACGATGGTATCTAGGGATGGAATGCATCGCTAGAAGGGCACCGGAGGAAAGAGTCCAAGGGTCAATTGATCCAACGTCTAGTACATGTGGCAAGCACCAAAAAGGCGCCGAATTTATCCAATGGTATCATAGGAAGTTTTTGGCAAGTATGCAGGAGTTGATGTCCTTTGCCCAACTTACAACTAGTTTCTCTAGGAAGGTTATAAATACCCCTATGGCCGGTCATTTGATGTAGTTAGAGTGTGCTAAAGATAGAGGGGGTGTCGACCATTCCAAGTGCTCTAGACACCAAAAGTGCTTAAGGAAATATTAGGTAATTAGTGCAGTGCTTTTATGAAGTGCTTAGACTGGTTAGACCGGATATGGACATTTTGCTCTAAGCTTAGGCTTAGTGTTACTAAGGTCAGGCATGTAATCTTGTGAGATAAACGGTCGGTCACTTACCATTTAGCCATTACAAAACAACCACTTAAATTGTGACAAAGGACCATTTAAATAAGATAAACAGTCAATAAAATAGAAACAACCACGTTTAAACGGTGCGTATAAGAGCAACTCCTGCAGACAGGCTATCATACTCGTCTTCGGTAAAACTAGACAAAAACGCGCTCCAACAGCCTCCTTAACCGGCTCTCCAAAATAGAAAACTCGTCATCCCTCTTTTGTCGCTCGGTAGAAGAAGCTAGTGATCTTCGCTCGCCATCCTATCCATCGTGCGTCGCAACCATCCCGAATTCGGCCTCTCCGTTCCAAACCGGCAACCGTAGTCACCTCACCCTCTACGCCTCTTAGGCTCTGCAAGCAGCCGGAAGCGGCATGACGCGAGCAGCTAGAGGCGGCCGCGAGGGGGGAGGGCGCTAGCGAGGCGTGTGTGGGGTCGTGTGCATAGGGAAGGTGTTGGCGTGGGTGAGGCATGCCGAGGCCTGATGCGAGCAAAAAAAATGGATGCCGCATGCGGGGGCCGCCGCACGCTGTGGAGGTGGCCAAGCGGTCAAGGCTTGCACAGGGAAGGCGGCCACGGCACGCGCGGGCAGCGAGCGCTCCGCCGAGCCTAGGAGAGGTGTGGCGCTAGGCCATGGCACGCGTGCGTGGACTATTCGGGAGCCTGGACTGTGAATTCCTTCCATCGTCGAGCGGGTGCGGCGAGCGTCCCGACCGCCGGTCATGCACGTGCTTGCCGAGCGCCAGTCGAGATGTTATGAGGGTGTTTGATAATATGATTCAACGTGACGCCGCTTCTGTTTGATCCAGCTTGATGACGTGGAGGCAAGTTTAAAAAAAATAGAAAGCCAATACGGAGAAGCTGCTGCTGAACTTTTCAATATGGAAAGGCTAAATCGTTTTAAAGAGTCAATTTACCTATCAAATTTGTCTGGACTCTTGGAGTTGCTCTAACTAGACTAAAAGGCTACAAACAGTGCCTAATGTACGGGCCGGGTTCATGTTCCGGGTCCCCGCTACCGAAGGTACCGTCGGCCGCTTGCTTAAGCCCACGACAACAACTCACCTCCCGGGCCTACCACGCAGTCTCTAGAAACGAACACCGCCAATGTGCTAATCTCTTTTGCATTGGGCTCGGCAATCCTGACCCGATCAAAGACGTAGGTACCCCCAAATTTCCCCTCGCGGAGCCACGCGGATCGAGTCCCCGTCGAATTCGCCTCTGCCGCCTGCTCGATCCGGTGGCCGCGAACTCGCCGCTGTCGGATCGTCTTCGCTGGGGCGATTAAGCTACGGGATTTGTAGAGATCTAAGCGAGTCGCGGGCAGCAGCCATGAGTGAGGTGTTCGAGGGCTACGAGCGGCAGTACTGCGAGGCCTCCGCCTCGCTCTCCCGCAAGTGCACCGCTGCCTCCGCCCTCGATGGAGGTAAGCAAGATTCCCATGTTTAATATGATCCCCTTTGGATTCCGTTGGGGAGCACCTGCTTTTGTTGATTGTTTTGGTCTGATGATTCGGTGGGCTATCCGCAGAGAAGAAGAAGCAGAAGCTGTCCGAGATCCAATCCGGCATCGAGGAAGCTGAATCGCTGGTAAATAGATGCCGCAACGCATTCTATTCTGGGGATCCCCTTGGCTAACTGGATATAAGACATCGACGCCTTCAGTTCTGTTCAATTGATTTGGGGAGCGGGTAGAATAGTAGAGATTAGGGATTAGGGATTTTTTCGTTTCCATCAGTACAGTTTTGGTGTTCTGAGGGAGCTGTGAGATGTCTATGTGCCTTGGTCTTCATTTTGGGGGTTTGGGGGAGAGTAATTTTATGTTTTCGTTTTATGTGTTTGCAGATTCGGAAGATGGACCTGGAGGCAAGGAGCCTACAGCCTAGCATTAAGGCTGGTTTGCTTGCAAAGCTGAGGGAGTATAAATCTGACCTTAACAATGTCAAGAGTGAGCTTAAGAGGATATCAGCGCCCAATGCCAGGCAGGCTACCCGGGAGGAGCTCCTGGAGTCTGGAATGGCTGATACTCTCGCGGTGAGCTTAATGCTAGGACCTTTTCAGGACTGTGTCTACAAAGTGTTGAGCTATGCTTAATACTTCAATGCGTAACATATCATATCAGGGCACTTCTTATAGATTGCATCAGAGCAAAAGTGTCATGGGTCCAATGTCTGTGAGCTAGAAATAACTGATTATCTGTGTTTGTACTTTTAAATGTGGATGTGGTTCATATCAGGTGATTTGGTTTGCATTGAAATGATAATTTTTTTCTTTTTTGCCCTCGGTATTTATTATTATACCTACATAGGTGGGTGGAATATTAGTTATACAGTCTAAATGATTGATGGTGCTATATCTGTTATTTAGTTGCATTTTGCTTGCAACATTGTGCATCATTGTGAAGGGCGGGTCTGGTGCAAGCGGTAGAGTCTTACCGCTTGTGACCGGAAGGTCCCGGGTTCGAGTCGCGGTCTCCTCGCATTGCACAGGCGAGGGTAAGGCTTGCTACTGACACCCTTCCCCAGACCCCGCACAGAGCGGGAGCTCTCTGCACTGGGTACGCCCTATTGTGCATCATTGTAACAATGGGACATGTGAACTAGGAATTAGTTCAATGAATGATTTACATGTGCATGTTGGCAAATCCACCCGGATTACTACATTACATTTTGGCATTTCACCTTTTTTTTTCAATTTTGGATATCCAAGTTTTAGTACTACGGCTCTGTGGCAGGATCCTGCCAGCATGTTTATATATGTTCTCACTTCTCACAAATGCATATCTGACCATCAAGTTTAATCGATGGCTTTCCTTATCTTACATGCTTAGATGGCACGATTTCAACTTTTGTTCTATAGGAATATGTGCTGCATATTCGAACATAGATGGATATATCAGATAGTTTCACCTTTTCATCCTGATATACTTTATTTTAAAATTTTGATCTGAATTCTTAATACTGTACACCACCGATTGGCATCTGTGTGGCTGATCACCTTTACCTCCCATGTGGCCCTTAACTAACTGTGCTTCACTTTAAGTTCATTAGTTGTTTTGGAATGTTGTTTAATATCTAGTAAAGATTTGATTACCTATGTTTCTTATTCCTCAATGTCAGTGTACAATAGGACTGCTGCCTCTACATTCCTGTTGCATTTATTTTGGTTGTGCTGGTTTGATTTATTGAGGCCTTTTGTCTCAGGCTTCTTACAGTTTTTTTTACTCATGTCATACTTGGGGGACTCTCCCATGGCTCAGGTGTCTACTGATCAGAGGGGAAGATTGATGATGACAACTGAAAGACTGAATCAGTCCACTGACAGAATTAAAGAGAGCCGAAGAACTATGTTGGAGACAGAAGAACTTGGTGTCTCAATTCTTCAGGACCTTCACCAACAACGACAGTCACTACTACATGCTCATACTACTGTATGTACCTGTCTCAACAGCACTTCCTATTATATAGATTTACTTTCTGGTCGTTTTCTGATTTTGCTGCAATGATTCTTGCTAACAAAACCTATATAACAGCACTACTAATTTAGTTCATTGACTGCGCTCTATATTGGCTTTATTCATAGCAAGCTCAGCTTGGATTTTGTTTAGTTCAGAACTTTTTCATGAAAATTAAATGTTAGTTATCTTTTTTCTGTGGTTCACTGTTGAAATCTTAGTGATTTGTAGTATTGGTGTTGAGTGTGCTTTTTTTTTCCTTTATGTTTTTGTTTTTTTTTTTTTTGCTGGTTTTATGTGTTGTCGGTGGACCCTTTTCACCTTAATATAATGATGTGCATCTTTCCTGTATGTTTTAGAAAGTTGTTCAAATATTCTGTTAGGTGTGCTGGGCTACAATCTCGAAATCTCTCTCCCAAATAACTCATCACCATTCTCCTTTTTATTTTTTTGACGATCCAGATTAGATTTTTTTTATTCGTGACCTAAGTGACTCTATCTCATCGCTCCATATGGATACTTAATATTGTTTTGCTACATTAATTGGAGTAAAGATTAGATTGTACTCCACCCGTTCCAATTTATATGTCGTTTTGGCTTTTCTAGATACACAACTTATATATCTAGCATATTGTATTGTTAGAATTAATTGCTCATTTACTGTAATCTCCTAGCTAACTGTGCAGCGCCTAGCTATACTGGCCCTCTCACACTGCTGGCCCTTGGGCCATCCCCTCTCTCTCCTATATAAGTGTAATCCCTTCTGTGATCTATTATCAAGGAATATACAAAGCCTAATGGCCTTTGTCTAATATGGTATCGGAGCAGGCGGCTTGCTGGACGGCGCGGTGATGAGGTGGAGGCACGTGGGGCGGTGGACCGCGAGAGCCGCTTGGGTTGGACCCGGGCCACATCTGGATGGACCCGGTCCATGGGTTGAAGAAGGATGGCCACTGTTGGCCATTCGGTGGGCCGGCTTGAGTGCCTGCTCGGGACCCCTCTACACCTTACAGCTCCCGACATCACCATCCGGTTCCTGCGCTCTCGTGGCCACTCCCTCCTCCACTACTTGGCATTATTGGCTCGGTCATCCCGGGAAGGCTACTCTTCAGACTCTTGCCAAGTCGTCCTCCATCATCTGCAGCAAGCCCGACGATGACACTCTCTGCCATGCTTGCCAGCTTGGGCGTCATGTCCGCTTGCCTTTTAACAATTCCTTGTCTCGTGCAACTAAAAATTTCGACTTGATACATTGTGATTTGTGGACTTCCCCAATCGTCAGTGTATCCGGTTTCAAATATTATCTAGTCATTATTGATGATTGCTCGCATTTTGTTTGGACTTTCCCTCTTAAGCTAAAGTCTGACACCTTTAACGCTCTCTCCAATTTTTTTGCCTATGTGCTCACTCAGTTTGGTTGCACCATCAAGACTGTGCAGTGTGACAACGGGCGTGAGTTTGACAACTCGCGTCTCGCGCTTTCTTTTTCTCGCCAAAGGTGTCACCCTTCGCATGTCATGCCCCTACACCTCATGACAAAATGGCAAAGCCGAGCGCATGCTTCATGCCGTCAACAACGTCACCCCGCACCTTGCTCTTCCAAGCATCCATGCCCCCCCCACTTCTTCGGGTGATGCCCTTGCACACCGCACTCTCCTCATCAATCGCCTCCCAACCAAGACCCGAACATGAGCACTCCCTTCTTGCCCTCCATGGCACTCTCCCCTCCATTTCGTCAGAGAAGCGCGTTATTGGTGGTTTTGTTGCTTCGTTGTGCTTCACGCTCCCACCACCATTTCAGAGATGTCTTCACCAAAGGGCTTCCGTCTTACGTGTTCATGGACTTTCGCTCCAATCTGAACGTTAGCTCCACCGCCGTTCCGACTGCTATTGGTGGTGTTGAGTGTGCTTTTTTTCCTTTATGTTTTTGTTCCTTTTTTTTTTTGCTGGTTTTATGTGTTGTCGGTGGACCCTTTTCTCCTTAATATAATGATGTACATCTTTCCTTATGTTTTAGAAAGTTGTTCAAATCATTAGGGACTTTGGGCTACAATCTGAAATCTCTCTCCCAAATAACTCATCACCATTCTCCTTTTTATTTTTTTGACGATCCAGTTAGATTTTTTTATTCGTGACCTTAGTGACTCTATCTCATCGCTCCATATGGATACTTAATATTGTTTTGCTACATTAATTGGAGTAAAGATTAGATTGTACTCCACCCGTTCCAATTTATATGTCGTTTTGGCTTTTCTAGATACACAACTTATATATCTAGCATATTGTATTGTTAGAATTAATTGCTCATTTACTGTAATCTCCTAGCTAACTGTGCAGGCGCCAGCTATACTGGCCCTCTCACACTGCTGGCCCCTTGGGCCATCCTCTCTCTCTCCTATATAAGTGTAATCCCTTCTGTAATCTATTATCAAGGAATATACAAAGCCTAATGGCCTTTGTCTAATATGTATATCTAGGTGCATAGCAAAAGCTATGTACTTAGAAAAGCCAAAACGGCCTATAATTTGGGACAAAGGGTGGTACTTCAGGAATTTAGACTATCTTGTGCTTCTGTGCACACGTTAAAGATTATATTTGATCGCAAAAAAGTTAAAGATTATATTGTACTTCAGGAAGTTTAGGCTGGTGCTGTATTTTCTTGAACACTTGTAGGACTTATAGTACATTTCGTGAGGATGAGCGTGCATTTTGTTCTGCATTATGTGATGTCTTTATTTTTCTTGAACGTGCCGTGTAGCACGTATTTCATTAAGAGGAAGTAGACAACATCGAACCAAACAACAAAGGACTTGCTGGTAATCCAAGAATTACCAGCGCAATCCCACAAGTACAAACGATCTGAAGAAGAAAACACGGGGGGGCACTAGCAAACCCTTACAGGTGAGCCCATCGGAGGAAGACAAGAACACATTGGTAGCCTAAGGTGTAGTGTAGCGCGATAGCCGACATCCACCAAGGAAGCCAAGGGAGCCAAGCCACGACAACAATGACAAAGCATCCGACGAGAGAAAAGACCACGGCGGCCAAGCATTCGTCGGAAAAGGACCATTACGGCAAAGCATCCGTAATGGGGCCATCACACGCCTCTGCTGGCGAGAATGAGCGTGGAGACCTCTGTGACGAGGTGGCCAAGCATCCACCCAAGCAAAGAGCAATGACAAAGCATCCGCCAACGAACCGAACGACAGCGGTGGCAACAACATACACCGAAGGACAACCCAATGCGAAGAAAGAGACGAAGCCACAGATAGGCACAATGAGAAAGCAAAGCAAAGGGAAGAGCGACCGCACGAACACCGACAGCGCGGTAAGAGAGTTGTGGCGACTAGAGTGCCCCAAACGAAGCCTTCAAGAAGGGATGACATCCGCGGATGCCAGCGGCGTTCGGAGAAGCACGGTGAGTGATTTCATCCATAGGATGAACAGAGCTTTTTCACCCGGAGCTTGCCCCAAGCGACCCGAACAGTGCGAGGCGAGCTTCAACGACGCCTTCAGAAGGAAAATGACGCAGATCGCGCCGCCGCTACCGTGGCTCGAGCAAGAAGCCGAAGCGGGGTAGACACCCAAGCACGTTAGTCGACACCGTGGTTCGTGGGGGGGGCACCATTGTGCCAAGGTGCTTCGTGGCGGCGGCGGATGAACTCTCGTCCGCCTTTGTTGCTCCACTAGCACGCGACCCTCACCGGATCCGCAGCAGACCTCATGAGATTACGGCGGCAGCAGACGGCCGCGGCCAGCCGCCACCGACCGCGCCCGAAGCGGCGTAGCCGAGCGAAACGCAGCACGCGAGACGCAGCGGCGGCCAAAGACCACGCTGGAAAAGTGCGATCCCCCCGGCCGGCGAAGCGGCGCAAGTGCCGCCGTAGCACCAGCGTCTCGTCCGGCCCGTGGCGGTGATGGTGCCATGGCGTAAACGCCAAGACGCAATGGATCCGGGCTCGAAGCGGCGGCGGTGGATCTGGTGAATGTAGCGTCACTAAAAGCGGCGCCGCCTACATGACCGGAGGCCCCCGCGGCGCGGACGCCAGCATGCCAGGCCGGTGGCGACCCCGGAACTGGCCGCCTGTCGAGCGCGGCCCTGGCGACGGCCGCGTCCACCGGCGCCCCATAGAAGCGGCTACAGGGGCCCGACGCGGTATGAGAGGCCCCGAAGGCCGCCCATGCCGAGGACCCCGCTGGACGGCAGCAGCAGGCGCCGGATCCGCACACGGGCCCAGATCCGCCGCCAGGCCGGCCGCACCAACTCGTCGGAGAAGCCGCCGCTCAGGCCCGACCGTCCAGCCCTCGCCGTCGCACCGACGAGGAGGAGGCTAGATCTGGTCTAGAGGAACCCGGGTCCGGGCCGCCGGCCGGTGAGCCCGCCGGAGAAGCACCGGGGAAGCCATGGTGGTGGAGGATTGGGAGGGGAAGAGAGAGGTAGAGGGGGGGAGGATGCGGCGGGCACCTTTTTTCGGGCCACCGCGGGCCGCCGCCGCCGCCACACCGATGGGCGACGACGGCGGCCGGAGGGGAGGGCCGGGAGGGGGGGCCTAGGGGGCCTGGCGGTCACCCCCGAGTCACCCTAGGGGAGCGCTCGGGGGAGAGCAGTAGAGCTCCTCAGTTGGAGCAGTAGAGCTCCCGACAGGTCTTCACCGTTGTGATGTCTTTATTATATGGATGGCTGTGGAATTTTAGTGCAAAGGAGTGGTTATTGCATTAAAAAGGGAAAGATCCTTAGTAAAAAAAAGGTGCATGCAACACATGTAACCCGTTCCTTGTTGAGATTGAATATCAGACTTATACCTCTGCTGCTGTAATGGGTTCAGTAGGTAATCTAAAGAGTAAAGTAGATCAGTGGCCCCCAAACTTGTTTGACAGTGTCACCTAGATCCCTGAACTATTGATCTGCATATCTGGGTCTTAATTGTGCCACTCTGATTGCCGATGTGGCTGGCCAGCATGGACATCTGAAAGAAAAATGATGTTACGGGATGACATGTGGGTCCCACTGGATCTTTTATTTTTGTCATCAGCTATCATGTTTGAATGAATGCGCTGACATGGATGCTGCGTAGATGCTAAGTAAATAAACACATAAACATTGATTAGAGAGGTCTCTTGACCCCAAGTGAACCACCTAGTAAGTTTATAGGGACCCTAATATGCAAATTAATAGTTCAGGGACGTAGCTGACACAACTGAACAAATTTGAGGACTGCCGATGTATTTTAATCTATAATAACAAAATTGTGTTGGCTAAAATACTGCACCATAGTGTACATTCTTGGTATGTTAATCTACTTTGTGTTGTGTGCGCACGTTCGTGTGTTAGAACTTTCATATTTGTGTCTATTATTGAGATTGATACCCTCTTGCTCATAGTTGCACGGAGTCGATGATAACATTGGCAAGAGCAAGAAGATCCTGGCTGCAATGTCAAAGAGGATGGATAGGAACAAGTGGATCATTGGGGGAATTATTACAGCTCTCGTTCTGGCCATCCTTCTCATACTATACTTCAAGCTCGCTCATTAAGCCTGCCTGCAGGTAGGTTCCCCCCACATATCTGTGTTCAGTAATTGTGTGATAAGAGTTGTCTGAATGTTGCTGTGTATTGAGCAACACCCGGCTCTCCGAGCATCATTTGTTCCCCCAAACCTGTAAACTTCCGTGGCTCATGTGTGTACAGTCAAGATACTTCCAACTATGTAAACTGTCTAAAGAGTGAAAAAAATTTACTTGGTGTTGAGTCTCATGTGCCTAACTCACGTTGTTCTGTCATGTTAAACTAGAGAGGTTAAAGAGTGGAGACCCTGTTGAGGGCAGCAAGGAGTCTGCTGAGTTGCTGAAGAAGCAACGCTTGTCCCAACCTTTTGAAAACACTGTGAGATCGGCGGCGGCTGCGCCTGGCAGCCCCCGCCGGGCACAATGAATATCTTAAGCGTGAACTGCCAGGGCTGCGGGCAGCCCGAAGCAGTTCAGGAACTTTGCCTGTTGGTGGAGGAGAAGAGGCCCGCGGTGGTGTTCTTGATGGAGACGAGGATGGGGGAGGAGCTAGCGTGCCCTTGGCTTGCAACGTAACCTTGGCTTTCCTAATGCCATCGTTGTCAAGTCGGAGGGTTTGAGCAGTGGTTTGATGCTGCTTTGGCAGGGGAATGTGGTGGTTACTGAGCTAAGTAAGTCGAAGTCGCACATTGATGTCCTCTTGTCTTGTGAAAACTGGAGGGTTTCTATGGGGAGCCGCGTCGAGATCGTCGGAAGGAGAGCTGGTACCTCTTGAGATTTCTGAGAGCGCAGTCTGATTCCCCTTGGCTGTGCTTAGGAGATTTCAACGAGGTGTTACTAGCGGAGGAGCAAATTGGTGGCAGTGACAGAGAGGCCTGGCAGATGGCGGCCTTCCAGGACGCCGTCAATGGCTGTCGCCTGACGGACCTTGGCTACCGTGGTCTCCCGTACACGTGGGACAACCGGCAGGATGCTGCCCGGAATGTCAAGGTCCGCCTTGATCGAGCTTTTGGAGACAACAGGTTTCTGGATGTTATGGGAGGATCAGAAGTCTTCCATGTGCCTCTAGCAGAGTTGGACCATTGCGGTGTTCTTGTGGAGGTGAGAGAAAAGAAACCACCTGGTCAACGTCAGGGCCGGAGGAAACCAAAACTTTTCCGGTACGAGAATATGTGGAAGAACCATGGAGAGTATATGGAGTTTGTTAATCGGTCATGGGATCCAGGACCCGGTACAGGTGACTTATCTACTGCTGCGTCTGCTCTTTTGGCTTTACAAAACTCTCTGAAGACCTGGGACAGGGACGTTTTTGGCTCGATTAAGCAGCAGGTAAAGAGCCTGAGAGCTGAATTGGAGGCGGAGAGGAGTAGCACCCTGTACCAAGGACCTACGGACAGGGAACGACATTTGGTGGCCACGTTGGGGGAGGTGCTGGCACGTGAAGAAACTATGGAACGGCAGCGGTCGAGAATTGCTTGGTTAAAAGAAGGCGACCGGAATACGGCCTTTTTTCAGGCTAAAGCGCGTGCACGGAACCGAACTAACAGGATTAAACTGCTCAAGGATGAGGCAGGAAATGAGTTTACTGATCAGGATGACCTTGAGAGGTTGGCTTGTGATTGTTACCAGAAGCTGTTTGCGGCACAGGAGAATCTGCAACCTGAGTTAATTTGCCGCCATGTACCACGGAAGATCACCCCGGAGATGGCGGCTGTTTCGGAGAGACCTTTCTCTGAGCAGGAAGTGGAGGAGGCTCTCTTTGAGATGGCGCCAAGCAAGGCTCCAGGAGTAGACGGTTTTAACGCTGGCTTTTTTCAGACCCACTGGCAGCTGGTTAAGGGGTGTGTGGTGCCTGCGATTTTGGGTTTCCTGAATGGAGGTGAATTACCTGCGGAAGTAAACAAGACTTTGTTGGTGCTTATTCCGAAGGTCACGAATCTGCAGGATTTGTCTCAATACCGCCCAATTTCTCTTTGCAATGTTTTGTACAAACTGTGCTCCAAAATGTTGGCAAAGAGATTGCATGGATTCTTGATGATGTTATATCGGAAGAACAAAGCGCCTTTGTGCCGGGGCGCTTGATCACGGATAACGTACTGATTGCATATGAAAGCATTCATTATCTGCGGAAAAAGAAGGGGAAGACAGGAGGCTGTGCTATAAAATTAGACATGGCAAAGGCATATGATAGAGGAAGGGCGGGCCTGGTGCAAGCGGTAGAGTCTTACCGCCTATGACCGGAAGGTCCTAGGTTCGAGTCGCGGTCTCTTCGCATTGCACAGGCGAGGGTAAGACTTGCCACTGACACCTTTTCCTCAGACCCCGCACAGAGCAGAAGCTCTCTGCACTGGGTACGCCCTTTAAAGGCATATGATAGAGTTGAGTGGAACTATTTGCGAGCGATCATGGAGGCGTTGGGGTTTCCTGAAACTTGGTGCTCGCTGGTTATGAAATGTGTTTCATTAGTCTCTTTCTCAGTTAGAGTTAATGGAGTTTTCTCGGACAGTTTTACACCAAACACGTGGATTTCATCAAGGAGATCCGATCTCACGGTATCTCTTCTTGCTGTGCTCTGAAGGGCTCTCTTGCATGTTGAAAAACATTGGGCCCTTATATATCTCAAGAGGTGTACGGGTGAGTACAAAAGCACCTTGGATTTCTCATCTCCTTTTTGCTGACGATTGTTTGATTTTCACTCAAGCATCAAAAGGGGAGCAGAGCGTGTTGCCTCAATCCTAGATGGTTATAACAAAGGATCAGGCCAATTGGTGAATAAACAAAAATCAGCAATTTTTTTTAGCTCCAACTCTGAACAAGAGTGTAAACAAGAAGTACAAGCAATTCTGCAAATTCCGAATGAAGCGCTTGGTGAAAGATACTTGGGTCTACCCACTTCAGCTGGGTGGGGTGCTTGCAATGCTTTCAACTATGTGCCAGCCCGGGTGAGGGGTTTTGTCGGAGGTTGGGCGGAGAAGGATTTGAGCTGTGCGGCGCGAGAGGTGCTGCTGAAGGCTAATGCACAGTGGGTGCCTACATATCCGATGACGTGCTTCAAATTGCCTCCTGTAGTTTGCCGAAAGCTGACAACGGCTGTGTCGAATTACTGGTGGGCAGTTCCCTGGACAACCATAAAATTCATTGGCTGCGGTGGGAAAAATTGACACGACCAAAGTGCCAGGGAGGTATTGGCTTAAGAGATTTCTCACTTTTTTAATCAAGCAATGCTTGGCAAGCAAGGGTGGAGGCTGATAATGAGACCGAGCTCGCTGTGTGATAGGGTTCTGCGAGGGAAGTATTTTCCTAACGGTGACTTCCTCACAGCTACCAAAAGGAGGCATTGCTCGGAAACTTGGAGGGCAATCCTACATGGAAGAGATGTGTTAAAGAAGGGTCTGATCATGAGAATTGGACCGGGCGAGGTAGATATTTGGCAAGATAACTGGATCCCAGGCTTGAGGCCCTTCAGGCCTCTGGTTCACTTGCCAACAGCTGCTGTCGAACGGGTGCAGGACCTTTTCGTTCCTGGCACGCGTGTTTGGGATGAGCAGCTCGTGCGTCGATTGTTTGTGGAACCGGAGGCGGCGGAAATTTTGAAGATCAAGCCCGGTATGTCTTTGGTGTCTGATGTCAAGGCTTGGGCGTTTGAGAAGCATGGGCAATATTTGGTCCGCTCGGCTTACAGATTGCTCAAGGTTGAGCAAGCGGCAGGTGAGACCGGGGCCTCTAGGGAATGCCAACACTGGCAAACGGTCTGGAAGCTGGACGTACCACCGAAGGTCCGTGTTTTCTGGTGGCGGGTGCTGCACAATTCGCTGCCTTCAAAGTTTGAGCTGAAAAGAAGGCACGTCGCCAAGGAGAGCTTCTGTGAGTATTGTGGTGATCCAGAAGAAACCTTGTATCATGTAGCAATCCAGTGTCCGTTGGCTAGAAGATTCTGGGCAGAAGTAAAAAAAGGTTGAGGGGGTGACGATTCCAAATTTCCATCCAAGTACATGGGCAACGGATGTGCTGCAGCTGGAGTTCTGTAACTCTAAGACAGCTGCGCTGGTGGTATGTGGTGCCTGGACGCGGACAGGTCGAAATGCAAGAAGGCATGGGCGCAAAACTTGGGAACCTGGAGCAGCGGTGTGGTTCGTCTCAACACTGCTGCAGGAGCTTGCAGCGCAGAAGGTGCCAAAGGAACCGAGGCTGCCCAGGAGGCCGGAGAAGTGGAGAAGCCCGGAGGAGGGGTGGATCAAGGTGAACACTGATGCAGGCTTTGACACCGCGGCTTGTTCGGGAAGCTGCGGTGTGGTGATACGTGATCAGACCGGCCTGGTGAAGGCTGTAGCGGCACGATGGCTTGATGATGTGCCGGATGCACTGACGGCAGAGGCTATGGCGGCCAAGGAAGGGCTTGAGCTTGCAGCGGAAAATGGCTATGACAAAGTTATCTTTGAGGTTGATTGCAATGGCCTCAAGACGCTGCTAGATGGTGATGATGGTATGAGATCGGCTATCGGGGGCCTTTGTTTCGATATTACAGAGCTAGGCAGGAGTTTTGTCAACTTTCGTGTTGCGTGGGTGCGTAGGGAAGTCAACTCGGTGGCCCATTGCTGTGCATGTATGGTGTCGACCACCGAGCGCTCGTTTTTCTGGCTCGACTATATCCCAGATTGGTTGTTGGGATTAGCAGCCGCTGATTGTACTCCTGTTATTGATTAATGGAAGCTCTGTAATGCTAAAAAAACTAGAGAGGTTACTAGAGCAGTATGTACTACCTCCGATACAAAATAAATGAACTTCTAGAATTGTCTACGTCCCGAACTCACTATTTTAAGTTTGACCAAACTTATATAGAAAAAAAGCACTAATATTTATAATACTAAATTAGCATCGTTAGATACATCATCAAATATATTTTTATAATGTTACTCTTTTGGTGTCATAGAAGATATTATACTTTTCTATAAATTTGGTCAAACTTAAGATAGTTTGACTCTAGTTGATTCTAGAAATTAATTTATTTTGGGACGGAGACAGTAACTATTCTGTGTGCATCACATTAGTCCATTTGAACTGCTGTCGCTGTCTGCCTTGGAATTATTGTGATTAGACAGCTCTGTGCCTAGTCTGTTATTGTTGTCGCGTTAGGGTTTGTGCAGATGCTTCCTGAATGATTTGAGTGGTACTCCTAGACTAAAATACTAGATGGGCCTTGGCAGCTAGCTAGTGTGCATGCACAGAAGGTGCAGGTCTATCGGTGCTGCAGTAACTTCAGTTGCAGAGCTAGGTTGGCAAGTGGGATAAGCGATGAGGCAGGCGCATCCTGTGCTTGATCTGCGTCCATTTTGGATACAGGGGGGGCATGGGCACTGGGCATCAGGGTTTGATGTGATGCATGGTGAATTGTTGATAGGCAATAATGATCCGCGGGATGGCTGGCTATGGTAGGATGCCATGGATGGGAACGGACGGTGGTTGGTACTGTGAACTTGAACAAGCAGAAGCCGCTCAGGTCCTGGATCGCGTGCATGCCAGCCAATGTCAACCAAGGCATGCATAATCTCTGCACACATTCCGTAACAAGCATATGTATGCAATGCACAGACACCACACCACAGGTCGTCGTCATTCAGCGATCCGAATGACATTTTTGTCAAAAGTACGTGTGCAGCATGCATGCATGCACATCGGCATGCCCGCGGGTCATGATAGCCTTACGCCCACTCTGCCTGCCGGATGATGTAGTCCCGACCCCTTCAACCTTTTCTTGTCAACCCTGCACATGCAGCACATATGTACAGCCAGATCCAAAGATCAAATGTGACGACTAAAACGGTCGAGCTGGCTCTATATATACTCTGCACTAGACTACACATTATATGTTCACATATATATACAGGCTCGCGCGCCATTTACGCTCATATATTGTAATGCATGAGCGTAGTTGCGTACTATATCATATTTTTCTTGAAACAAAACGAAACTCTGAAAAGTACTAGTAGTAGTAACGATTGTATTTTTTTTCTTCTTATGTACGTGGGTCATTATATTATAATAAAATAAATTCCCTGGCGCTCGTTTCTTAGATGCATCTGGCCAAACGGCCTATCCAGCGAAGTCCGTTGCTGCAATCATAAGCAAGAAAAGAGCTAGCTCTAGCCTGCAACATCTTATTCCCTTTCCCACTGGATGGAGCGATATGATCGATCGTGGTCAGCAGTCAACACACACCTCCCTCCCATATCGTCACTTGCCGGCCGGCTCGATCGTCTTTTCAACGACGCCACTACGCACGGAACCGCCGCCGAATCTGCCGATCGAGAGAGTCGGCAGGGGCGGGGCCACCGCGACGAGCCGACGACGAGAGAAAACTGAAACTTCCTGAAATCGCGAAGGCGCGGAGGGAAAAATTGGGTGGAGCCAAAAGAAATTTGGAGCGCGCGTGTCTGAATTCTGGCCGACGCGCGGGCGGTAAATCGATCCGTCCGTTCCGTCGCGTGCTTGGATTCGCTTCGTGCCTTTGTGCTACATTTAGGTGGCTGATGATGACTTCCTGTTCTAGAGACGTAGATCGAGTTCTTGGTCCATATATATATATTTTGAATTATAACAACTGATAAAGTGTTCTCGTACAGATTGTTCAGAAAATTAAGCTGAGGAGGCCCAACGAAAATAATGACCAGTCAAACAAAACCAAACCAAGGCTCGTACAGCTGTACTGTACAAAGTCCTCGAAAAAGAAGGGTGCATGTCGGGCTGTAGGCGCAGGTGCACTTTTCCCTCCGCCTAGCTAGTACTACTGCATAGCTGCAGTAAAATAAAGAAGGTAACAGGTCCTTATGCGTATGTGACGCGCTGCCTCTCCATGGCCATCCGATCGCGTTCTTTCCAATTCCAAGCGATCGGATGGCCGCAGGGGCGCACGGCCAGTCGTCCCTGTGGGTTTTATTTACCGGGCCGGGGCGAGCTAGAGCGCCGTGCGTGCATGCAGCAGGGTGACCAGCTGCCAGTTGGCCCTAGTAGCAGTAGGATTCGTGCGTGCATGTGGGGAGCAAACGCGCTGCAGGAGGGCCGCACGCGCCTTTTGGAGCCGGCCGGTGTTCTTCTCAAGGCGCACGCCTTGCATTGGTCTCGACAGGGGCGGCGCAGGCGGGGAGCGGACGCGGCAGGAGGCGCATCCTCTGGCGTGCCGTCGTTGGCAGAGCCAGGGGGTCAGCCCCAAAGGCATTGGGCAGCCCAACAACCAGGCCCTACAATGTGGTGCCCGTCCGGCCCCGGTCGTCGGTCGGCGGTCGGCGGTCGATGCCGTTCCTCCACCCACCGGCTATAGGGGTGGTAGTAGTAGGGCTACTAGTTAGCCCAAAAGCGCCCTGTAAAAGTGCATGCGTGATGCAAGCTGCACTGTGCAGTGCTGTGCTACTCTCTCTATCAAGCTAGCTCGTACTGTGTGCTCTCATGGCAGCGGCGCACGCACATAACGAAGACCTCGTTCGATTCTTTGACACGAATGAACAACGAGCGAGGAAAGGAAGAGGAGAGAGGAACAGCAGCAGGAGAAGAGAACTCGGTGAGAGAGAGAGCTGAGAGAAGACCACCGATCGAGTAGGAAAAGGACGTGCCCAAACTCCCATACGTACGGGCGCTGCCTTGCATTGGGCACTTAATCATATGTGCCATGATTCATTCCACCACCCCTCAACGCCACTAGCGATCGCAACAGATACAGCCCACGCACTGGCGCGCGGCGCGCGCCTAACCAGTAGTACTCACCCGTCCACTAGAAGAATCAGTTTAAACTTTGACTAAAATTATGGCCTTGTTTAGATACCATCCAAATTTCAAGTTTTTTCACTCTCTTTTCATCACATCAATTTTTAGCCGCTTGCATGGAGTATTAAATATAGGTAAAAAAAATAACTAATTACACAGTTTAGTTGGAAATCACGAGATAAATCTTTTGAGCCTAGTTGGTCTACGATTGGACAATATTTGTCAAATAAGACGAAAGTGGTACTATTTATCGGGTTGAAAAAATTTGCAAAGAGAACAAGGCCTATATAAAAGATACTAACATTTTTATGCAAAATTGATATCATTAGACTAGTCATAGAATATATTTTCATAATAAATTTATTTAAAAACATAAATATTAATACTATTTACTATAAACTTAGTTAAACTTAAACTATTTTGATCGGTACGGATTCCATAATTATAAATTTTTTTTTTGGACGGACGGAGGAGATGAACGGCGCCGGTGTGATGCATGGCATGGCGCGCAGCGACATGGAGCGTGCATGCGTCTCGTCTAGGGTTTTCCCCCTCCTGCTCTGCTACTAGCTAGATAGCTTTTGCAAATGCAATGCATTTCAATATCGACGATGACTTGACAGTAGGAAACGCTGACAGTCCATATATAGATGCATGCATGAGCTAGGCCAGCTCGCTGGGATAAAAAGGTGTCGTCAGCAAAAGGCCCTTTCCGTGTTAAGTTACTAACATAATCCCGTATTCCCGTACGTGCTTTGCTGATCAGATAAAAGACCCGCTGGCCCAGCATCGGTTGATGATAGAGATACTCGCTCCAGGATAAAAAGACGAGAGAGATATGAATTTAGCAAGATAGATAGATAGATAGATATAGCATCTCTCTCTCGTCTTTGTTGATCAGAAAGCTCTCCGTCCGGCTAGCCTACCTAGGCGCCTAGCTCTGCGTATCTCGCTCCCTCTCTCCCTTTTTGCGTTCAGCTACTAGGAAAAGATATTTCGTTGGGTTGGACGCAAAAGGGGGCGAGGAAAAGTGGTTAATCATGCACAAAAGTAGAAGCAGATATATATATATGTATATGCAATTCGCTAGCAAGATTGCCAGCCTCATGGCTGTATCCAGCACAATGATCGAATCAGCTGTTGTTTTCGGTCGCACCTTAGACAGCACACAGAGTTTGTGACGACTGACGACTTGCATTTATGTTGTACTCCTATATGCAACAGTGAGGCAAGACCAGCTCGGTTTTGGTTATGTTCCTTGTAGAGGAACCTGTCCATCTAAGTTTTACTCCCTCCATTCAAAGAAAATGCAATTCTCATTTTCTGACGAGTTAAACAAATCCAAGTTTGACTAAATTTATAGAAAAAAGTACTGTATTTATGATGATAAATAAGTATCATTTGATTTCTTTTTGCGGACATTGTAGTAATATGTATTTCATTTGATTGATTATACAATATATTTTAATAGTATACTTATTTACTAATATAAGTATTGATATTACTTTCTATAAACTTGGTCAAATTTAATAAAGTTTAACTTGTCCCAAACCTACAATCACATTCTTTTTGGGACGGAAGAAGTAAATCTTCGACTTGGCATGTATATCTAATTATTGTTTTAGTGGTAGCCAGTAGTTGGCGTGAACATTAAATACATTGGCTTTTATCAATCTCAATATATATCAGCCTAGTCGTCTCTCATATGTGCTCATAATGATAAGCGTGTGTGTATATGCATTTGTTTCCTTAAAAAACAATAAGGCAAGAAAATAGCACCGTACCATTTATGTTCTTTTTGCTGTTTTTTTTGTATTTAACAATATTTGAGAAAGATGCGACTTTGAAAAAAAAATCCAATTATGCAGCTTCCGTAGAACAAGTATGTAGCTTTGAGATAAAATAGATGGATCAGCTTAACAAATTTTAACAACGTTGGTTCTACCTAAATACAAAGACGCGCAAACCTTTTATGTGTTTGAGAAAAAAAAACTGCGTTGGTTCTAGGACATCCTGTAAAAACCAAGAGGTGCAAGAAGTTCAGATTACATTTGGATCGGCGATTGGGTCTTGTAAGAAACAGTGTCTACATTTTTCAGTTTGGTCATCATCACCATCGTTCCCTCGTTCTGCATGCAGTCTCTCTCTCTACTACAGCAATACAGCTGCATCGATGGATCACTTAATTAACAATGCGGCGAATCGAAACTTAATTTGCACATATATGTGTAATTACAACCTTATAAATACCGTGCTGTAGTATTAGTATCTACTATACGTAGTACTAAGTACTCATGATAGACGATCATATCATCATCAGTAAGTACGCCGGCCCCGTAATCTACCAACAAATTAAGAGACCGGCCTGACCAAGAAACAGCAACATATGCATGCATGTGTATCGTCCACTCTGGAGTCGATGATCTGGACGACAACCGTCATACAAGAACAGTTACTACAACAGTAGTTTGCTGCTAGTATTCGACGATCCGCTCGGATTTACATACCCAGCTGGAGAAATAATATTGCTGCTCCTTCCTGCTGCAAATCCGAGAAAGCCTGAAGGATTGATTGCTGCCGCTGCTGTAATAGCTGTATTGCTGCGACCTGCTTGCTGTGCTGCTGCTGGTGCTCGTGTTGTTGTTGCTGGTGATGGTGGTGCCTAGGGTTTCCAGCGCCTGGACCTGAGACTTGAGGAACTTGAGGTAGCTGGCCGCCTCGTCCAGCATGGACGCCGTGTCCATCTTGTTGCCCCCGGGGACCAGCTTCTGCAGCACGCGCAGGCGCTCG